TACATTCCTTCCAGTGTTTTTTTGGCAAAACATATGGGTTAGCACTCATTTCATCCAGGCAGGTATGTTGAGTTTCTTCCAAAACATTCATGAGGTTTTATGAAACAAACTTGATGTAACTGCTTGATGCCCCCGTAGAACCTCATTGCTTTCAACTTTTTGTTGACAACTGCGATGAGTTTGTGCGACGGTAGGCTGACCGACAACGGAGTGTGCCAAAATGGATTTCATTTAGACTTCAAGAAGCTGGTAGTCCCGTTGGACAAAAGCGCTCTAACTACGATCCACGTCACACAGACTGATCGCCGGGGCGGTAGAAATCGACAAGCATCCCAGTGTTAACAGAATAGAAGGCGTGGAACTGGCAAGCGTGTGGGTAACGGTTTTGGATCAGTCGAGCCGACACGTGTTGGTGTGCGGTCATCATCATCTGAATTCCACTTGACCTCATTCATCCCCTCCGATCAAACTAAATTGCCCGAGCACTCACAACCCCACAAAGACCAAGGAAAATCTACCAGTGGCACCCGAGGTGGATCATCAATTGAAGCACCATGAAGTGGAAGATTAACGAACCAAACCCGATCAGAATCAATTCGAATCTCTCCCAATCCACAAAAGCAAGATTTTGACAACCACGCTAACCGACAAGAGCCATTAATTGACACTCAACACGGATCTAGTGTGATAATCTGAAGAGGACTGACTCACTGATTGGTTCTCCGTCTGCCTTATAATCTGGCCAATTTGGTGACCTGCTCACTTGGCCTGATGAAGATTTTGTGTTAAAAACGAATCGTTGCCCAAATAAAAACTACCGATTGTTTATCAACCTCTTCAGGAACGATGACTTCTCAGTCGGTTCCAAACCTTTTCCAATTGACTGAAAACAACTATGGACCATGTGTTCGCAAATTGTCAAGTGACTACGTTCGACTGGCAAGGCTAGAGGCAAACTGGGAGAACCATCGCATATTCAATAAACGATGCTTGAAGCACAACATAATCCCCACATCTTTATTGGTTAAGCCACCGGACGCTTCAATCGCTTCTGCCCGAATAGCATTCTCAGCGGCCAAGTCATTCCTCAAACAAAGGATATACTTGACTACTCAACGATTATCTGATATCCGTCATCACGCATGTCGGCTCAACCAAGATCTTCAAACCATGCTCTTTCCCGCAGACTTCCAGTTACTCCAAACCAAAGCGACAGAAGTAAAAGCTATCCAAGGACAACGTTGCAAAGAGAGACAAATACGTAAGTTCGAAAAGTTACTTTCAAAAACTCGGAATTCTAATGAGCCCATAACTAAGCCTGAGCCCCCCACAAGCTATTGTAGAGTGGTAAATCTATCAAACAGACCGACCCCCAACCCACCAAAGCAAGATTTTGACAACCACACTAACGGACAAGAGCCGTGAATTGACACTCAACACTGATCTAGTGTGGTAATCTGAAGAGGACTGACTTATTGATAGGTTCCCCGTCTGTCTTATAACCTGGCCAATTCGGTGACCTACTCACTTAGCCTGATGAAGCGTTTGTGTCAAAAGCAAAACTTGGTTCAAATAAAAACTACCGATTGTTTATCAAGCTCTTCTGGAATGACGACTTCTCAGTCGGTTCCGAACTTTTTCCAAGTGACTGAAGAGTGCCTGGACTTTAAAAGAAATGACGTCATTTGGGCAAGCCAATTAGTGACCGGTTTGTGGTGGTGGAGACAAGCAATTCACAAAACTGTGTCACGCAACGGAATGTTTTCAATCCAAGCGGACAGATATGCATATTTTTAAGCGGATCTAAGGCAATGGCACAAAAAGTGAAATTTCATCTTAAGTGAACACTAAACTCCCATATCTTAGTCCCTATTCATGCAAAGAGGAAATCAGAGTCACATTGAGGTCTGTCCATGATCCACCAAAGATATGCTTAGACCATACAGCGGTGTTCGAATGACGGTCTTCTGTCCTTAAGCGCAGCAGTCCAGTTAAAAAACAACCCAAAGGCCCTTGCCCCAAAGACACATGGACTTCTAAAAACTATGATGAAAAACTGATTTAAGAACAACTCAAATTTCGAGATCAATTGATCACCCAGTGAGTGGAACAGATTTCATCATGGGTGACCAAAAGCAAGGGAAAGTTTAAAGCATTTGAATCTAGTGTACTGCTACGGCCACGTTGCTTTAAGCAGTGTGGGAATAACCTTTGACTGGTTCATCAATGACAACCTTTCGGTGCCTAGCTGCCATGTCATCAGAAGGAAGCGTGAGAATTAAGATACTACCAGGTTGTTCAAGCCTAGGCAGAATAAATCAAGATGCCGAACTGGGTTCGAACCACGGATTTTCCAGTCAGTATAATCGCACCTAAGCCATCTGATATCTTTGTAGTGTACTACTCATAAGGTTGCTGAAAATACGTCGACAACCCACGACCGGTTTTACTCTCTTTGGGGCTCATCAGGTAGGCGCGATCCTCGAGTTTCCGTCAACCTTATATTCCATTTGAAACCAAATTACACGAAATTAGTGAATATACACTCATTTGCAAACTAATTTCTTTCTTTCGAGAGACTCACCTGGAACCCAGCTGAATCTCTCGTTTATGATGTTCTCAGGCAACTGAATGTGCTGCACCAGGCCGCCTCATGTTTCAGTTACTACGATATTCGAGATATCGCGATACATGTATATTTGTAACGCACTACTCATAAGGTTGCTAAAACTTCTCCGACAGCCCATGACAGTCCTTGTTGGAGCTGAGCATGTGGGCGCAGTCCCCGAGTTTCCGTCAATTTTATGTTCAAACATCATGATCGAGAGATTCAGTCGGGTCCGAGGTGAGTCTCTCGCAAGACCAAATCAGTTGGCCATCTTGTTCAAACAGTAAGCTTTTGAGCAGACTCATGGCTTCACAACCCTGTCGGGCTTATTCTTTGCCGGTTTACGATAGAGTCCGTATTCGATATAAACTCAGACTAGTATCGAGACCTGATAGATTGCCTTACGAGTCATTGCATTGTTACAAGGATGATGGCTAAACCAAAAATTAAACCTGCCAGCTTTGTGGACAACAGTCCGTCAGTTGTGGTGAAGCCATTATCTGTACGTTATTGTACGTCAGAGCCTCAAGAGACCGCCACGCTTAATGGAGATTATGATCAACAAGTGGACGACCTGAACCAATCACCTTCTGCTCCACATTAATTAATGTAAGGTATATCAGCAAATACATCTACCTACCAGGATTTGTAATAGCCCAGTTAGGCTGAGGTATATATAGTGGTATAATATATATTAATAGCATACAGTATATTATATTATAGTATACTATAGTATGTATAATATAGTATATAATACACAATAGTGGTATAACAGTGTATAATAGTATAGTAAAGTATAGTACTTTATAGTATAGTATAGTATAGTATAGTATAGTATAGTATAGTATAGTATAGTATAGTATAGTATAGTATAGTATAGTATAGTATAGTATAGTATAGTATAGTATAGTATAGTATAGTATAGTATAGTATAGTATAGCAGTATATAATACATAATAGTGGTATAATAGTGGACTAGAGTTCCACCTCTATCTCCCTATCCCTATCTGGGAAATTAAAAATTCAGTTAAACCTTGTAAACAGACGCCAGCCTGGGAAAGCTTTTCCATGAGGTATGCATGCGAACAACGTTTGGAATTTCCGAAAGCCGTGTCAAAGTGACAGTTCGCGTCTCATGCTAATCAGCCGTAGGGTCATTTTTCATCACGCAAGCACATTGCGACTAAAAAATTGAACCGGCACTAGGTTTGGCCTGGTCTTAAACCAATGGCAACTTGGGTACTTGTCCTATGCGGGCACTACTGCTTTGGATAGTTATATTTTCCTAAATAATGTTAGTTAGCGGATCAATAATATTTGTGGTAGATATTGCCCAGAAAGTTGCTGAAAACTCTTTGAGTAGTATACTCTGTCAAGAGAATTTACTGTGACAGCTCGAATAGATTGGCAAGCAAAACATGGGGCGGCCAAGTGCGGCACATTCAGTTAAAGAACAACATCAGAAACGTGAGATTTGTTTAAATTCACCCAAATTTTCCGTGAAAACGAAGATAACACGCAATCGTTTATATTTAGCGAATATAATTGATAATCTGTTCCCAAAATGAAGCTGATTTTAACCAATACTTTGTTTGTGTAACAGCAAACCAGGTTTCTTCTGAGCAAATTTTTCAGGCGCTGGACACAGTGCCTCTTGTGAGGGGTGCGCACAGCAAATGCAGGCTAAAGTCATGCTTTGAAATGCACTTTCTTGGGATCATGAGTTTTAATTCTTCTGTCGTCAAATGGCTTTCCCTGAAGAATATTTGTGGTCAAATGAAAATACGAAAAGGCACCGATAATTTAGCTGCACAGGTGAATACCACATATCGCAGGGGTAAAAGGCAAGGGATAAGTGCTTGATTCTATCCGCGTGAGGTCGATTTCAGGTTGCCTTTTGTCCGGACTGTTCATCACCTTTAAGTTCGCGTTCTTTGCCTGCTGGATACGCTTGAATCCAAATGTTACAATTTGTTCTGTTTGCTTTTGGTAATGTTTCACACCTTGGTTTTGCGGGCAGGAACTTTCGCGTGTGAACTAAGTTGTTCCTTTCGATGCATTTGATTTGGGTAGTCCCTTTAAACACCACTCCGGTGCAACGTTTTCATGCATCCCAAAAGTGTCTGAGGTAATCGAGTTTTTTCAGGTATGTTCCAGAGCAATCGGGAGTCCATAGACTGGTTCAGAAGATGGATGTTCCTGTCAGTAGCTTTACACTCGAATTTAGTGGGCTAACTTGTGTCTGAGGTCTCAAGAGCCAGAAAGCTGGTTGATCAGTCCTCAGTGTGTGAAAAGTATTTCCCCTTGCAGCGAGAGATTTCTGATTCTGTTGCCACCACATGATTATTGATGCGGAGCGGTTGTGAAATAGTGTTCGATGACGAAGACAAGGATGGAAACCTACCCTGTGATCTGTATTGCGCCCTACCATTATGTTCATATTCTCAATTTAAAAACAAATGTTGTAGTCTCGTGACTGGCCCACGCACATATGTCTGTTTACAAGATGAATAGGTGGTTGTTGGGCCTTCAAATATGATTTCCCCGTCGCCTATGTAGTACTGTGTCATCCGGGACTCGGTTATAAAGTAGGAGTAGGGAGTTCCGGTCTTTGATGAATACGGGGTGGCCAAGCTTCGTGCGGGCGACGAGAAGTGCTGTTTTCTTCAAGATCCATTTCCTCTTTATCCAGGAAAGCAGCTGTCCGTTTCAATGCATATTCTGCCTTTTGTCACTGTGCACAGCGCTCTGCGTTTGCAGGCCATAATCTTATTGAAGACAAGATTAAGGGAACCACTGACAAAGAATGGCTGTTTGAGGGCCCGTGTGTTTACTATCTGCGTAAGGAAGTAAAGATGTTGAAAACTGAGACGGCACAGAAAATTGAGCCTACCAGCGCTTTGTGTTTGCGAGCCTTAAAAGATTATTTCGACCGCAGTGGCCTACCTCGGGTCTACGGGGAACAGTGGTTAGTAAAAAAAAGGCCGGAGCCTATCTACCTGGACCATATGAAGAAGTCGTTGAGAAACGGACGGCCTACAAATTACCAGATAAATCTACCCTAAAAATCCGCGCTTTGCAAAACCGCATGGACGGCATTGGGAAGAAATGTCGATTTGGTAAAGAATGGCTGTCTACATTAGGTGACACGTATATGGTATATTCGAAGAGATCATTACCGTTCTGGATGCACATGAGTTCTGTGTAAGTATCGACCCGGTTGACGAAAACGGGGTACCGCAACTTGGAAAGAAAAAGCTTATTCGAGGCGAGAAATCCCTATTCCTTCAACCTGGTGACGTAGGCATAGGTGCGTTGTGCGCGTTCAAGTGTACCAAACTGACACCGTCCATCCACCGGCATCCAACATTAGGCGAAACCTTTCTGACAGAACGAGAGTGTAGTTCACAGCTTATGGAGTTACCAAAATATACTCAGATATTCCCTGGGGCGAAACCCATGACCGTTGACGTGCCCGCTATCTGACTTCCAGGGTGATCGACGCCCTTCTTTTCATTAGAAACCACAAAACCTTACCACTTTGTACAGCTTAAGGAATTTCAGTTTAACAATACTTACAGTGTGCGGTTACTGAGTGTTCATTTGTATTTTTGGCTTAGCGTCGTTATTGAACAAGCCAAATAGGTAGTTGACAAGTTCGGAAAGGCGAGCGATCTGCTTCCCGTTCACTAAATTTGCGATTTGGCCGAAGGATCATACGGCAAGAACTGTTTTAGCATAAAAATAAAAGACCAAACTGGTCTACCGTCAAGTTTCAGCTGTTATTTCCCAGAACCTCCAACGATTCGTCATTCCAAGTGAAATCTTACAGGTTCCAACTAGGGGCATTTACTGCCGATTGTCGATATGACTTCAGTGTACCAATTTGTACAAGACCATGGTATTCCTCTTCGATAGCGGCTCTTGATGGAATCGTCAAATGCCTAAAAGTTCTTGCATATATATTTTCAAGTGCATCCAAACTCGCTAGTTTGTTTTCAATCTGTTGTGTCTAGCAATCACATCCTGAATGGATGCACAGAATGACAGCTTGTGCAAACCAAAGGATGAGAAACGACCTTGAAACGTCACTCTGTGTGTACTGATGTCAACTGAGGTCTCATCCATCCAGCACAAACGTTTGGGCCGTGCGCAGCGAGCTGACCGTCAAGGAGAAAAAACAGTTGATCTCTTTAGGTAAAGGTTATGCGCTCATTCTCGTGAGAGCCTACGTTCATACAGTAAACACTCGGTGCAGTCGCATAGCACTGTCGTGGGTTGTTCTTGTCAGGTAAGACACGAATGTATGAAACCGAAATCATGTACCCGACAAACATACTTGTCCTTAGGGTACCGGTTTTCGTACGGATGGTGCTCCAAGACGCTGAGAGGTCAGTGCAGCTTCCCAAAGTCTGGAAACAAATGTCACGCCGCCAGCATTTTATTTCGCAAAAGCTTGTTTTTGTCCTAATGCACGGTTATTTACGTGCGGTCACGACTTGGACCGGTACAACTGATAAATTTGAGTCAACTCTGATTGTTGGTTTAGATTTAATAAAGCAAAAGATTTGGATAGCGTGGTTACTAAATTAGAGGGCTGTTTCAGCGATTGTCGCACCCCCACAAAAACGCGTATGCAGAGTTTCGAAGTTATCGAAGATTACCGAAACTTGGCTTGCATTACCTTCGTTCTCGAAACTGCTGTAAATCCAAGATATTTACTTCATCTTCGAGCAGGGAAATACTTGGATGCCGAAAATATAAGTAGTATATAAATATATATAGTTCACTCAAATTAAGGACCTCCTCCTCTGGGGCCACCGACTATTGTTCACTATATGTGGTTGCTGGGTGAAAGAGGCATGGTAGTTTCAACTATTTTTCAGTAATCATGTGAACATATGGGTCGTAGTTATTAAATACCGTGAGGTATTTGACTAGACTGGTAGGAGTTTGCTCACTCAGCATGAACGTTTACTCCCGGTCTGCTTCAGACAAAACAGCAAGGAAATGAGAGACCTAGGCACGACCGTCGCTGGTGGACAATCAGGTGGACTAAGACCAGCTTCACAATGCCGACTCTCGACTTGTGGACTCACTCGTTTATTTGTGGGATTGGAAATGGTCGGGAAACTTATCTTGGTCAGCTGACGACGTGTTCAATCAGTCCGATTATTCACAGACACTGGGAATGTTGAAAGTCAGCGGATTTTAATCTGAGATGCCTCAACATCTCAGCTCGGAAAGAAGTTAGGACAAAGGACCATATCTGTGGAATGCAAAATATGAGTGGCACGGAGGTCCTCATCAACCAAGATGTTTCTTCCGGTTTTGACTGACTCAGAGGATATTTACTTGCGAGCATCTATTCCATAACTAAGTGTGATATCTTTGCTTTTTATGCCAGTTTGCATCGAAACTACAGCGAATAAATGGACAAAGTCGAGGTAGTAACGTCGGTTTAAAACTGTCACCCTGACTAGTTTATTCCGTACCTTGGTGGTAAACGTTTTGGGTCACTTCTCCTCAGCAGAGCACACAGCTGTGATCGGGTTATCGCCTACACTTTGATTAGCATATTCTACCAAGAAAATACACTGCGTTACCATTATAGGACGCTCTCATTTGAAGGAGAGATTCAGCTGGGATCAAGTTATTTTTGAACTGCCCTTCTCTTGGGTATCACAGCCTCAAAATTTTGTTTTGTGGCGTAGGGAATAAGGTACAATTGATCGACTCCCGACGCAGTTACGCAGAACAAATAGTTTTCAAGCTCTGAGGATTCGTGGCTTTCTGGAGCGTTTCGGCAATACTGAATAACGCGCCAGCGGCCATGGTAAGTCGTTGAACAATCAGACTGCGCGGACCTCTCTGCCAAACCTATCCAGTGCACCCACCTTCGTGTAGGAGACGAGTTAGCAGTAGTTTCTTTGTAAATATAGAAATTCCAGCCATCTATGGGAAACAATTTACTCCTTTCAAACCTTTATCACGGAGTGCAGTGCAACCTCACTCAAGTTCACCTCGCTTAAAAATTACGCGTAGTACGAGGGCCCACTGTCTTGTGTCTAGCCGCTCCTTTGTTTGCCTTCCTGACCTGGTTTCATCTTAAGGAACGACGTTCCAGTCCACTTGGCCCACACAATCGTTACAACACCAATTCTAAATCACCAGACCTCTGAAGAAAACCTCAGAAGCAGTTGGAGTAACACGACTTCTTCGCGCGATAATGTAACAAAAAATAATCAGTACAGAAACAATGAACCATTGATATCCGTAAAATGGCTGCAAAAAACAACCACCATGATAATGGTGAGTGCAAAAATACAAAGAGCTTCGTTTTTGCGACAGAACAAAAGTTCCATGAGGCCACATTTTCCAAGTTTCAGAAAAAGTGCTCCCTATTGCTTTGGTGACCTTCTCGTCCTGCGATAATGCGATTGCGGCCGGCTTCTATGAAAATTAGTCAACAGTTGAGTAAAAACAATCATATATCGAGATGCTTGGAATTCAAACGCAAACAACTTCACGGGACCCTTGAGAGTGCATCTGCGACAAGGAGTTCCCTATCAAGCATTCACACAAGCATTTCCAGTAAGTTTGTTTTACTTTTTTTTTCAAATTACAATGTGCCCTTGGACCAACAGGTTGGTAACTAGATGAACTGCCATGGAACGCGTAACAAAATTTTTGCCAAAACCCGTTTCCGGCGTAGCAGTAGAGTAGTGAAGAGGTGTGAACTAATGACATACGTGTCCTGTTCTTTTTTCGGCTGACAACGCTCTGTTTCACGTCGCGTGTTGGACAACTTGACGGCTTGACTTTCATTTGTTGATGCGTCCCCTGCTAATTTGCCCGCAGTCAACACACTCAGGGTTTGCTTTGTTTCAAACAATGAATAATAGATTATGTGATCAACATGGTGTCAGACCTACGGATGTCAGCTGTGTGACAATGAGGTTTTCTGTGCAAGACTGACATTCACGAGTGTTTGGACGTGAAAAATCAACCGAAGAAGGCAGAATTGATTTGTGCATGATAAAATTTCAAAATTCTATCAGCAATCTGCTTTAGGAAAAAATATTTTTTATGTATGGGAAAGTTCACATTCTTTGCAGCATCTAACCAAAGTCAAAATTCTTCGTCATACGAATCTACAAAGATCTGCAGATCTACAGATCCATAGGCCATGAATTGCACTCACTTGTAATTATAAGCTAACTGATTCACGAATTATCGAAACAAGGTTCATTTGTAAACCAATTTCGTTTTGCGGGAGACTCATATGGAACCCAAATGTACCTCGCGTGTATGATTTTTTTAAGCAACTGAATGTGCTGCACCAGTTTGTACGATATTCGAGGTATCTTGATACATGTATAGAAGTAATACACTACTAATAAAGTTGCTGAAAATTCTTAGCCCGCGAAATGTTTCGTTCATCTTGGGTCTCATCAGGTAGACGCAGTCCCTGAGTTTCCATCTTATGTTCTACTTGTAACCAAATAGCACGTGATTGGCGTAATACACTCATTTGCAAACCAGTTTGGCTTTACGGGACCCAGATGAATTTCTCGCTCATGATATTTGCTCTGCCTTAGCTCTGACCACGCCAGTTGTATTATTTTCGGGATTGTCCAAACCAATACTTGTATCAAAAACTCATCTTGATAGATCCGAGCAATCGACAAAAACACCCGTTAGCGCTCGGTGATTTCCGAGGGTTCTATGAAAGATGCAACTTCCCTAAAGAGGATTAGGGATAGTTGAATTTTCATGGAAATCGTCCAATTTCTATGAATCAGACCGTTTTCCAGGCTTTCTTTGTCCACCTCATGCTCAGTAACCAAAGTAAGGAAATAGAACGTAGTCAATCCAAGCGATATTAATCAAATCAACCGATATTGTTTGGTTACCAAGCAAAAATGTGACAAAGAGACCTTAAGATGCTTCTTTTTTTAGTAGATGGGTGAAAAACCATCCGTTTACCCCCTCTCCGCTTTGTGGTGTCCTCTTCCTGCTTCTGATGGGGCGATCGAGCAAACAGACCGAGCTCTGTTGCTCT